TTGTAATAATTTAAAAAAAAAATAGTGCATTTCCTTGTGTGGCTGTGGAGGCCTCTGAAATCTAGCTGGTGTTAACTGAACTGCATTCCTTCTGGAGCCTTAGGGGAGGAATCTGTTTCCTCACCTACCCCAGCTTTGGGGGGTCAACTACATCCTCTGGCTTCAAAGCCAGCATTATGGAGTCTTCTCTCCTCTCTGACCTTGTTTCCCTCTTATGAGACATCTTATAATTACAATAAGTTGCCTGATTATCCAAGATAATCACCCCAACTTATATCTGCAAAGGCCCTATTACTGTAACAGGTACTACAATCACAGGTTCTGAGAAGTAGGAAATGGATGTCTTGGGGGAGGGAGAGGCGAAAGATATTATTTACAGGTTATCACAACCTAGTCACTCTGACCTTCTTGCTCTTCCTCAAACACAGTACCAAGGCTTCTGTACCTGCTATTTGACTCTGCCAGAGACCTGCACAACTTCCTTCTTCCTTCTGCAAATCTCTGCCCAAAGATCACCTCCTCTGGGGAGATTTCCCTGACCACTTAAAAGCACATCACCATCCCTGCTGCACAGCAATTATCACTATGTGACGTGCTCTATGTTTAAGTATGTGATTGCTACAAATAATGTAAGCTGGGGGGCAGGGTAGTCATGCCTCATTCACTGTGGTGCTTGCCATCTATAGCATCATGAGGCACACAGCAAGCTCTCTGTAAATAATTGAAAGAATAAGTCCAACTTAAAAATACAAACTGAACACTTTAACTGGATTGCTTTTATTTTCAAAGGTCAGACTCTGACATAGGCTGCCCTCAGCAAGCTCAGACTTCTTTACTCAAATATAATCTCTTGCTTTCTGCTTTTTTTTTTTTTTAAGTTTTAATTATGGGAATTTCAAACAAACAGTATGAAGAACTCCTGAGTACCACCTTCAGTTCTAACAATGGTTGATAGGTTGCCAATCTTGTTTCATCTCACACCCCATCCTTGCCTGGGAAGTTGCTTTGCTTTTTCCCTTGTTAAAAACTCTGTTCCCTGTTCAGACTTTGGGAAACTAGGAGCAGCTACAGGTCTTTATAATCAACCTGGCTTTGGTAATAAATTGTTCCCAACTGTTAAAGACTTCATTAAGACCCTTAGCCATAAAAACCAAGGTTTTAGTTTCACCTATTTAGACATTTGAGATCATCGGTCATATTTTCCTTGAAATGCAAAATAAAATAGAGATTTTATACTAGAACTTTTTTTTTGTTACACCTACTTTTTGTTCGACAATTTTATGTATACCACCACTCTTTTTCTTTTTGCTTTCTTTATGCATATTTTTCTGCCTTTGACCTGAAAAAATGGCGCTGTTGTCAGTACAGCAAAATGTCTACACTTACCTACTAGGAAATAAACGTAACTAAAATACATGCTTAAAATGGAAATTGAAAAAAAGACAATTTAAAGAGTTGGAAAACAAGACAGTGGTTGCCAAAGCTAGGAATGGGGGAGAGAGGTCAAGAAAGATGGGGCTATAAAAGAGAGGCATGAGAGATGACTGTGTGGCACACAAATGTGGATTCAGTACTAGAGTCTGGGATTCTGCACCTGTGAGAAACTGCACAAAAATGCTACACAAAGATGCAAAGCGGAAAACTCTGAAGCAGCTCTGCGGCTGTGGCAGTGCCAGCGCGCTGGCCCTCAAGCCAAGGAGCAGCTACGCAGCTCTTCCCGGTGGAGGATGCTAAGGGCGGGGCACACCGTCCACTATTTTTTGCAACTTCCTGTGAATTTACAGTTATTTTAAAAGGTCTTTAAATTAATGAATCATTACTATAAACCATTGCTCCTCAGAACTACCCATGTTAGAAAAGCAGACCCTCCTCATAAAAAGCAAACAATTTTATAATTTTGAAATTGACAATTTCAAATTTTAATTGTTATCCATTTATAAAAATATCCTCTATAGTGCCAGGAATCCTGTGGGCACAGGCAAAAGAATGGACATAAAATGATAAGTAACAAAATGGAAAAGCTGTTCAATGAACTGCCCACCACATAACTCTGCTCATCACTAGAAGCCTCACTGTTTTTGAGACATTTCAGCATAAGCAACCCCACTGAGATACTAAATCCCTAAGGGACAACGATGATTGCAAGGAGTTGGAAAGGTCAGCACCTGAAGTACACAAGGGCCCCAAAACACAAGGGTCCCAAACTAACATAGTAGGACTTTATTTTGAAAACATGAAGCCTCACAAAACAGAAAAAAGGTGATGCAGAAAGGAGACGCAGTCAAAGCAAAATCAGTTCTCCAGCACAGTCTGTGGCATAATTAAATCTCAGAAGTCCTCCCCAAGCAGAGTTCCTTATTGTTCACTGGTTACCAATTTGGCATGCAGATCTAAGTAAACAGGTTTTCTCCAAGGGCACATGTACAGTTCATGGTGCCAATTCCAAATAACTGGCCCAATTTCACTAAAATCCCAAGGCAGTAGATTAAAAGAGCAAGAGAGAGAAGGAGATAGTCAGGACAACTCCTCTGAAACTAAGTATAAAACAGCAGGACATTCCACTCAACAAAAGGACTTTTTCCCTGTTTCAAAATTAAAAACATCACTAGAAGCAAATGAAAATGATACTTATTTTTATTCCATTGTGATTTTACTTTAATGCTTGGAAAAACAAAGCCAATTCTACAACCTGCTGGACATCTACTGTCGTCTTCATACAAAAGCTCTGTAAAGAAAATCCTGGTTTTGCAGATGAGAGCCACCTTAGCAATTCTATTAAAGAATATGTTCTATTCTTATACTTGTTCTCTATAAATTCGGCTCATCCAGAAAGAAAAAAAAAATCTGGTCATAGAAGGAAGAACTCTGATAGACAACTGGACTACTGTGTTGCAAATTAAACTGTTCACACCTGCAGAATAATCTCACCAGCATAACCAATCTACCCTGAAATGCAGCCCCATTGTACCAAAGGGGGAATCTCTTCTACTAGATCCTATCTTCCCATGATAAAACTCTTTGGATGAGAAAACCAGCAGCAGATGTGAAAGCCACATGGCCTGCTACAAAGCAGGAGAGCAAAAAGCACTGTTAAAAGAAATGATTCCTTAAACAGCAGCTCCCTATCAGAACGAAGATTTTATCATCTAATTCTGACTTTGTGTAAAGCAGCTAGCTATGAGAACCTCAGCTAACAGAATCAAGCTGAAATCCAGGAGTTGGACTCATTTAGCTACACCCTTGTTTTCAACTCTTGGGAGCAGGGCCAATGTGTAAAGTTAGAATATGACAAATCCAATTTCCAAGGGGAAGAAGACAAGGTAGGTCCTTTTAACACGGTTAGCAGGCTCTGGATATGATTTACACCGCAGTGCTTTAGTGAATGTCAGTCTTCAAATAATTCCTCCATCGATTCCTAAAAAGTTTCAGTCTTCATCAAGGAAAAAAAAACTGCTTTTTAAGTTATATTGTGGCAATCAAGAATATTGAAAACTTATTTACAATGATGACATGGAGACAATCTCCTTCAAAAGAGTGAAACTGCTGTCATTTTCAACAAAACGGAGGGAATTTGGAAAAACAAATCAGAACAATAAAAACAGCACACATTCATACAAAAGATAATCTGACAATATAAAGCACTTTCAAAAACAACTAGATGTCACAAAACATCCTAAGGCTTTTGAGGTTAAGAGGGAAGGAGAGGGACAAGAGGACACACAGGATGGTGGGGGAAGGCAAGGGGTGCTATCGTGGGTCACCAGACTTATTCCTTTTGGCAGGGGAGAGGGAATATGAAGATCAGAAACTTCTGAAATGGAGTGATAAGAATTTTAAAGACAAAAGACAAAAATACCAAAAACTTCTTCAAATTCACATTAAGTAGAAAAATAGCTTTGAGTAAGCAAATGTTTCATAGAGTAAAACCAGAAGCTCTGTCAAGTCCACCTATATCTTGAGTGATTTCTTTGACCTACTGCAGAGGTAGCAAGCTCTACAGTCTAAATTTGGGACTGGCTGCATCACTCTCAAACTACCATAGTATCCGTAGCTTCATGTTCTCAGTAGGACTTCAGACTTTTAGTGCACAGTGCCACTCAACTTAGGGAAGCCTTTCTCTTAAAGGCATGGAGGCTTGGTGTAAATATTATGGAACCCAAGGGTAGAACACCTAAACACTAAAGACACAAATTTTTTGGCAGTTACAGAGAACACACTCCAGTGTCTTCTAAGGAGCACAGTTGTCCATGTTAAAGCAAATGGTCAGCAATCAGATACCTCTGACGTATGAGAAATTATGTACTTTTCATCAATTATATGCTCTGCCCCAAAAAGAAATGAACAAGAGATTTTGAAACAGCCTAAGGTTTGTGGCAATACCTGAGTAGAAATGAAGGCCACACCTAGATCTCCTATTCCACTGTGCATTTTATCAAGTTCCCCTGAACTGCTGTGCTATCCGCATAGACAGTCTCTCCCAAATGCTCGCCATGGGCAGAAGCCTCCCCACCAACATGAGATGGGTGACAGATTAGCAATCCCCTGGGTGATCTCAGTTCTTACACGCCTCACACCTCACTGAGTGGCTGATATAAAGGGCAATTGGACTATCTGCCTAAAAATGACTTCAGTTTTTGCCCCCGACTAACCCTCTAGTCCCAACCTCACAATTTAACCAAGGGCTTGCATCTTTGCATTAAAAACAGTGAAGACAGTTCAATAAAGGCTGAGCACAGAGTTACCAGCCTTTAACACACTGCGACAGGTCAGCCATAACTCAGACCGCAGGGAGAAGAGCTCCTGAGCAGACAGCCCCAAAAGATAAACACCAAAGAGTAATATGTAACAGTCCTTTAAGTTCCAAACTACTTTCCGTCAAGTAAAGTTGGTATTCAATTTATTCATTCTTTAGATTTCTAACTGTGCTAAGTCACCCAGGAGCTTCTAAATTTTCATTACATGTGCAGGTCAATCTTCGATGTCAGTTCATGGCAGCTTACCTGTGCACACCTTCCAAGTTCTCTCCTGTCCAGATACTGAAATATATTGATTGCCAACTCATAAGGCAGTTGGATATCAAAGAAGGGCACATCATCCATTTCATTCTGAGAATAAAAAAGAAAATAAACTTAAAAATCAAAGATATGAACATGCTCAATTATTTGTTTGTAGTGGATAAGCTAGGTTTTTGTTAAAAAAGTTAAAAACAAACAAACCTGAGTAATTCTCATGATATTCTTCAATCTAGTTTCCTTTTTAACGTCTTTTCTCCAATTGTGTTTATTAAGGTAAAGCTGAGTTACATCATTGTATTTGTTTTATGGGGTACAAGCTCAAATCTCTACTATACACCTCACACCAAGCCTACTGTAACCAGAGTTCCCCAATAACCCTCCACTATGCTCCACTGGGTCTAGTCCCACCCAACCACCCACTCCAGATGCCTCAGTTTTGCAGTCAAATGTCAATGGTTTGTTATTGGTTTGGTTTTGCCTGACCCTTTGTTTCATCTCTCTGTTTCATCTGATATTCATCTTTATCCTTCTAATTTATTTAGCTTAGTATTATCCTCTCCAGTGCCATCCATGTTGTAGGAAATACTCCCATTCACAAGCCCTTTAAAATACCAGAGATAATCTCAGCTGTGACCAGAGTGACCATGCTGTTTCCCAGGAGGAACAGAACATTCTCACTATCCCACAGAGCAGAGAACTAACTCAGAACCTGACAGTCACTCTGAGTTCTGACTCCCACCAGCTACCTCACCTTCCATGAAAGCCATAGGCACACTTCTCCCGAGGCTTCAAAAAAGAGAAGCAGGGGTCCCATTTGACAACATGGGGTATACCACTAACATCAGCACAGACACTAGCACCTTCTCAGGGAAGGAAAGCAGTGGGCAAGCAAGCCCCTGAACTCAGGGGACACTCTGGACAACAGTTTCAACCCCTTCCCCCCAACCTGAAGGCAAGTAAGTAGCTTCAGCCAGCAATATGCTAACCAAATGTCTCTAACAGAAAAAGAGGGCTGAGAACACAAGCAAAAGTAAACAATGAAAGGCTGCTTGTGAGGGAGGTGAACACCATTGCCCGCTGGAGCAGCAGTGGCTCCCTTGCGCACTCGGGGATCCACACCGTTAACCTGCACAAGCCAAAGCAAACAAAGCAGCTCTTCTTCGGTGTCATTTATTAATGCAGAGAAACTAGAGCTTGCCTGCCTTGGATAAGCAATTAGGGATGAGGTAACAGGCTTTATGTGAGAGATAAGGCTGTCATGACGATCCTGGGAGCACAAAGAAATATGAGTGTGAAACAGAAAAAGGCCACGTCCACCTGGCAAAGCTCATGCTGGCGTGTGCTCCTGCCACACTAGGGGACGCAGTGGCCTCTGTCCCAACAGAAACTCGCTTCATGAAAGTCATTCTGAAAAAGCTTTGGCTGACATCAGTGACTTATTGGTTGCAAACAAACTGTTTACTCATGACTCAAATTATGTTGTATATCGCAAGGCAGCAGTCTCAAAACTGCAAATAGCCGCAACATTTGGGAAAGTGAACACTGACTTAAACCCCACCAAGATTCAGGGTAGACATGTTTATGGAATCATGTTTCCATTTCATCTAGGATTCTCAGAGCCAGAAAATAATCCAGGGCACAAGAAAGAAATTCATTCAACTGCAAACACAGTTCAAAGCCAAGTATGAGAACCAAAAGGGGTCTTCAGAGGAAAGTGGAGTAAGAGCTGACAGTTCTCTGTGGGAAAAGGAGGAACAGAATTTTTATCAGGAGAGAAATGTTAGCCACACAGGAAAAAAAAAAAAAAAGGAATAAAATCTGCAAGTGTAACTGGAAGGCAAAGGGAACGTGGCCTAAAAAATAATGGCAAGTCATCGGTCTAACATCAGCCGAGCTGCCCTCCATTAAGTACATGGCTTCAGTCATCAAGAAAAAGGCATCGTTTTCTCTCTCAGCCCAGACAGAATGTGAGACCCCTCACCCCAACCAGAAGGCAAGGAGTCACAGAGAAGACCAACCACTGTTTGTCACTCTAGCTTCCCTGCTTTCTCTCTGGTCACCTGACTACAATGAGGCCGACGCGAACCCATTTCACCTACTCGGCAAAGAAACAATGTTCCCTGTCCTCAGATAAGGCAAATGAGAGCCAGGAAAGCTTGCACTAAGGAGACGCTAACTCCCACTTAGCTTTTCCATGTTTGAGATGAGCCAGGCCGTTTCCTTTGATTAGTCCCTTCAGCACTCTCAATTAACTGGTGTCTGAGATGACACCTGAAGAATCACTGTTTTCAGTTCTCCTAGTGCAGAAAAATCACACTTCTGGGAGCAGGAAGTTGTCCCTCTTTTACCCCCCTGTCCTCGTGGGCCCAGCCACCAGGATCTCTAGGACACAGTAGGGTGGTGTTCGAGCAAAGATTCAACATCATCATCCTGGCTCTGCCACCCGACTAGACAGGCAACCAGGTTTACTGCACCAGAGTCTCCGGTTCCTCATCCATAAAGGAGACACAACTACCCTATGAATAGGCATGGTATTAAGAATAAAACAAGCCCTGGGGAGGGCTTGGCACAAGTACAAAGGCTAAGCATGCAATAAGTAATTGTTGATAATGCTCTTTCCTTTCCCGAGGGGCACGCCAGCTACCTTTTCTCTCCTTCAACTAATCCACGTTGCTTAGGTCCACATTCCATGTTCCTCTTCTACCAGCTTGTGTTTCCATGGAAACACATACTACAAAGGGACTACAGTTGTGCCAGAGGGCACGGGATGGCACAATGCACACTGACACTGCAGGTCTTTCCTGAGAGAACTTTCATTAAGAATCATCAATTTTGGCCCTCCCTGGTGGCGCAGCGGGTTAAAGCACAGCACTGAGAATCTAAAGCCGCTTCCGCATGAGTTCGATTCCCGCCTGTCCCAGGGTGACCACATGGCGCAGCAGACCTCTCCTGACCCACCCGTTGCTCCCCTCAGCAGCGTACTTCATTGATCTGCCTGTTCTGCTCCCCACTCTGTCTCTGGTGAAGCCTCTCGCCGCCCCTGAGCCTCTGGCCTGTACCCCAGTTCTGTATGCACAAATAAATAAATCTTTAAAAAAAAATCATCGATTTTAAAAGGTTATATACTGCAGTACTGACTGGAGGAAAGTTTACTCCAGTGCACAGTGGATGAAAAGGATGAAGGCACCATGGTGCAAACGGCTAGCTGGAGTGTCAGGAGCCACACCAACAAATGATCTGAGATGGGGTTAGGGGTATACTGGTCCCCTGCTGACACCAGTAACAACTATACCAATTACATAAACACCAACATTTCAAAGCCAAACTACTTCCCTAATCTCTGTACTCTTAGAAATACAATATCTAAACTCCAAAATAATTACCAATCTCAAACGTATCAAGTCCCAGATGTTCATGTAAACGGGCTTTCCTGTTGCTACCATTGGCTGGAGTGTGGCAAGAAAAGGACTGAAGGAAAGTCCACCTATAAGAACTATGTAGACACACCGAGCCATGAGACCAAATGCTGCTGTTCCATGCTGCATGCCTGGAATGATCCTGAACTAGTCAGGAGGAAGAACCAGGCCTGTCAGCTGGAATCTCAGCCTATCGATGACTGACAGTAGATGCTGCAATGACACACACAGATTTGCCCTTTAAGTTCAAGACACTTAAGGCCCTGGGGCCCAGAATGCTGCCACCTGAAGGCTCACAGCTGAGTCCCCTCCTAGGCACTGCCCCTGGTCAAACCTGCTGCCTGCCCAAGGTTGCATCCCCTCCTAGAAGGCCGCCTGCAGCCAATGACTGGTCAGCACCTGGATACAAGAGTCTGGCCCCCTTGCCTGAGTGCAGGACCTCTGAGAGTTAAACCCATTATACCCCCTATATGCAAATCTCCACCTCAGAGAGTTTCATGGAAAAGCCAACCCTTTTCCAAAGCAATAAACAAGAACCATGATGGCCTCATGTTCAAAACATTGCCAAGTATCCCATACACAGCTCCACAAATAAGTCTAGGTAACCTACTTCCTCTCCACTATTCAAGGAGGCATAATGAATGGAGTAAATCAGAGTGGCACTATTAAGGGAAAAAATAGAGTAGATTCAAGGTTAGGTAAATGATTCATAAACATCACTTTGTTCTAACTAGTGACTCGTCACTTGGGAAGTACCTTATAAAAGACTGAGTGTGAGCATGTTTGTCCCTGGGGACAAATTCTAACACTATTCTTTTATAGGTATGGGGATGTGATGAGGATGTGGAGCACATCTGAGACAGAGACTGCAGCCCAGTAGCCACAAATACCCTAAAAGCATTGGCAGAATATCTTAAGCCTCTCATCTGGTACTTTCCACAGTACATTAACACAAGTGAGAAATATTACTTCTACTAATGTGCAGGGAAATACCTTGTAATCTAAAAGGCTACCATGCAGGCTACTAAGTCCACAGCGAGACAATTCTTTATCCTCACTCCACAAGAAAGTGGAAAAATTGGCACTTCAAAAACAAAGATAAGAAAAGATTAAAGATACTAGAAATACTAATATAGGGAACTTGGTCACACCATAAAATATCAGTATAATTATAATGCAATGCCAAGAGGAAAGAAGTTTGTGTGAATTTAATAATCCCAAGCAAGGTGACACTGGCCAATAGTGCCACAGAAGACAGACCAAATTTAAGGTACTCGCACACCTTCAAACTGAAGGGAAACATTCTGGATAACATACAACCAGGGTTTTAATTCTTTTAAGCTCTAAGACTGATTCTTTACCACGACGGGTAACTGAGGGTCTACATTACATGCCCTAATCAGCTGTGGAGTTTAAAGGAAGGAAACCAACCACCAGGGTTTCTCTCCAACTTACTGCCCCAATTTCCAAGAGGGGGGTCAGAGGGAGACTCAAGCATCTCTTCATCAGGGATCCTCACACACACTAACGTTGAGAACCAAAACTCTAAGTCATAAACAGATAAAAAAAAATCAATTCTTTCCCAATCAAGCAAGAGGATCATGTTACTTTGTTAATTCAAAGTCAGTGAATACTAGATTTTCCCAAAGTCTACTGGACTTACTCCAAAAATGT